TCTCAGGATGCCATGCTAACGCAGCTGAAATGGCAGGAAATGACATCTGAGTTTGAGGGGGATTTTTTTTTTACAGAATGGCAGCTGCGAGAAACTGCTTTCTTCCTGAAAATCCTCCAAGAGGCAGAGCTAGTTAATTCCTGTAAAAACCACAGATGTATCAGCTGAATCTTTCACAGGGCCCCTCCCCATATCTCATGCTGCACCTTGTAGCGGGGATAACAGGAAATAACAACTGTTTGTCTGCTGCCTAGATAACACTGCACCCCAAGCTGCCAAAAACGAGGCAAATTTCTGCAAATTCATTAGACTTAGGCTTGGTCTACACACACAGATATTGCACTGATTTAACTAAATACTAAGGAATTGAATTAAGCTAAATCAATATTAGTTGGTCTTTAACCAATGTAACTGTGTCCACCCAAGGGGGCTGCACTGATTTTAATTAAATCAGTTTAGCAATTGATTTAGTTAAACTGGTACAGTTTGCCCTAAGAGAAAAGCTGCAAGAGTTACGTCAGGTTTCACAGAAGGACAGATGTCTTCTGCAGATTGACAACAGCAAAACACTTCTTCAGAAACACATGCTGCACAGAATGATGGATTATTTCCTATAGATACCCTGGATGTTTGCTTATGTTTTGAAACTATGTCCCCCGCATCTGCTCCCCCCAGTACCTTCCCAACCTGTAGAGATGGAATCATTCCAACTCAGTAAAATGGAATGCAGGAGCTTTTATGGAGGTAATCGGAGATTTGCTGAAATAGACTGTCATAGTGCATCTCCTGGGATTATTGAAGTCCTGAGTTGTATTCCCAGGGTAGAGTAATTTGGGTTCTGGGGTAATGTTTGGTCTCCTTGATTTAAGACATTTGCAAAAGGGAAAAACAAAATATTTTGTCTTTCTTCACTTCCTTATTTTCGGGAAGGACTAATAGATTTTGAAGAAAGCCCAGTAGAGTTAGCTGCCCAAATCTATGGGAACTGAGCATTAACTCCCACCCTAAATGGCTAGACTGTCATTCCATCAGCATAGGTAGTGTCCTGTTAGAGCCCAATTACATGTGAGCTCTGTAGTTTGGCCTCTGCCAGTGCCGTGGATCCAGATTTACTAAAAGCGAGGCCATAAACTCCTTCTTTCTTTAAAGAGTAGTTGTTGGCAGTGCTGTTTCTGAGCCATTCATCTGGCTCTGCACTGTGTCACAAGAGCCTTTTTAAAATCCCCCAGCCATCATCAGCCTTGAAGTTCATCAGCCTAGGGATCTGCATGCAGAACTCCCATCATCTAGCCCTAAAATAATACGCCACTCACTGGCACCATGGTGCCACAACAGGTTAAGAGAGTTCATAGAATCATAGAATATCAGGGTTGGAAGGGACCTCAGGAGGTCATCTAGTCCAACCCCCTGCTCAAAGCAGGACCAATCCCCAGTTAAATCATCCCAGCCAGGGCTTTGTCAAGCCTGACCTTAAAAACTTCTAAGGAAGGAGATTCTACCACCTCCCTAGGTAACGCATTCCAGTGTTTCACCATCCTCCTAGTGAGTTCTGGTATCCTATAGTGGCTTTGCAAGAAATGTAAAGGCTCCCTGGATACAATCAAATGACTCCAAACAACTCAAATACAGCTGCTGGGATTGAACGGAGCTAGTTTGCAGAAGTTTACCAAACTGGTCGTACTTTTAAAAGAGAATGCTTTCTCATGCTCCAGAATTTAAGCTTTCATTTATAAAAAGTCTGTAGCCCCTGTGTTTGCAAAAAGAAAAGGAGTACTTGTGGCACCTTACGGCTGTTCCTCTGAAACCTGTGTTTGCAAAGAAAATCTTTGCATTTTGAAGCAAGTACAAACTGGTGGAAGGACATCTGTCTGAGACTGCAGGCAGCCTAAAGCAGCACTTCAGCAATGTGTTGGCTCTGTAGCTTAATGACAATAAAAAAATATTTGTTTTAACTATTGCACTGCTGATCAAAATAGGCAAGAAAGATGAGAGATGATCATATTATTTTGAGAAACTATAGTCTACTGTGGGTAATGTCTCATTTTATTGCCTCCAGTGGGAGCATGCCACTGTTTTTCTTCCATCCCTGCCCCCTCAGGGCTCTCCTATGGAGGTTTATAATAACCAGAAAAGAGAAGTCCAGGGCCAGAATTAGATCCCTACAGAAATGGTACAGAAAGCAGCATAAACATAAAACTGTGTTCTTTGGATGTCATTGCACAGTAGGCCACCCACCCCTGTCTGTGGCCCAAGTCCAGGCAACTGCCCTGAGGTCGGTCAAAAGCCGAGGGGGTCCTTACGGTTCTTGATGCAGAACAAGGCCAGGTTTAAGCATTGCTCAGGCTGGAACTGGGAGCATTGCTGGCAACTCTTCCAGTCTTATGACACGTCTTACGATATTGGGGTGTATTTCTTTAAAGCCCCAGCTGCTAGCAGCAAGAGATTGCACACGAAGCTCCGCTCGCTTTCTTTTTCAAGTAACTTTCTAACCCTCATGGCTGCTGAGACAAGCTCGAGAACACGGAGCGAGTGTGATTTCCAGGCTTGGAGACCAGAAGGCAAAGCAGCAGCACCTGGAATTCATTAACAATCATGAGATTTCAGAGTAACAGCCGTGTTAGTCTGTATTCGCAAAAAGAAAAGGAGTACTTGTGGCACTTAGAGACTAACCAATTTATTTGAGCATGAGCTTTTGTGAGCTAATCGGATGCATACTGTGGAAAGTTTCCACAGTATGCATCCGATGAAGTGAGCTGTAGCTCACGAAAGCTTATGCTCAAATAAATTGGTTAGTCTCTAAGGTGCCACAAGTACTCCTTTTCTAATCATGAGATTGTTATGAAAAAATTCATTTGTTTACAGTGTTGTCACTGGGTTGGCCCCGGGATACTAGAGAGACAAGGTGGGGGAGGCGATATCTTTGACTGAACCAACTTCTGTTAGGGAGAGAGGCGAGCTTTGGAGCCACCCAGGGCTCGTCTTCAGGGTCCGAGGGGGATGCTTGGAAAGTGTGTGTGGGGGTTTGGGGTGTTATGGGGTGGAGGTGAGGGGATGCTGGGAGGGGTGAGAGGGTGTCATGGGGAGGATGCACAACACTATGGGGGTCAGGAGGATGTGGGGGGGCGCTATGGGAATGCGGGGAGGATGCTGGGGGGGGTGGGAGTGTTATGGGGGAGGGGTGTGGCACTGTGGGGGTCAGGGGGATGTGGGGACCCCTATGTGAATGCAGGGGGTGTGAGGGGATGCTGGGGGCGTGAGGGGGTGTTATGGGGAGGGCGTGTGGCACTGTGGGGGTCAAGGGGATGTAGGAATCCCTATGTGAATGCGGGGTGTGTGTGTGGGGATGCAGGGTGTGTGTGAGGGGGTGTTATGGGGGAGGGGTGTGGCACTGTCGGGACCCCTATGTGAATGTGAGGGGGTGTTATGGGGAAGGGGGTGTGGCACTGTGGGGGTCAGGGAGATATGGGGGCCCCTATTTGAATGCAGGGGGGGATGAGGGGATTCTGGGGGGTGGGGGTGTTATGCGGGAGGGGGCGTGGCACTGTGGTGGTCAGGGAGATGTGGGGGTCCCTATGTGAATGTGGGGGGGTGTTATGGAGGAGGGGGGTGTGGCACTGTGGGGGGTCAGGGAGATGTGGGGGCCCCTATGTGAATGCGGGAGGGATGAGGGGATGCTGGGGAGGTGGGGGTGTTATGGGGGAGGGGGCGTGGCACCGTGGGGGTCAGGGAGATGTGGGGGCCCCATGGGGATGCAGGGGGGGCTGCTGGGGGGGTAGGGGTGTTATGGGGAGGGGGCGTGGCACTGTGGGGGTCAGGGAGATGTGGGGGCCCCATGGGGATGCAGGGGATGAGGGGATGCTGGGAGGGTGGGGTGTTATGGGGGGAGGGGGCGTGGCACTATGGGGGTCAGGGAGATGTGGGGGACCCTATGTGAATGCGGAGGGGATGAGGGGATGCTGGGGGTATAATGGGGGAGGGGGCGTGGCACTGTGGGGGTCAGGGAGATGCAGGGGCCCCATGGAGATGGAGGGGGGGGGATGAGGGGATGCTGGGGGGGTAAGGGTGTTATGGGGGAGGGGGCATGGCACTGTGCGGGTCAGGGAGATGTGGGGGCCCCATGGGGATGCGGGAGGGATGAGGGGATGCTGGGGGTGGGGGTATTATGGGGGGAGGGGGCGTGGCACTGTGGGGGTCAGGGAGATGTGGGGGTCCCTATGTGAATGTGGGGGGGATGTGGGGATGCTGGGGGGTGAGAGTGTTATGGAGAAGGGGGCGTGGCACTGTGGGGGTCAGGGAGATGTGGGGGCCCTATGTGGATGCGGGAGGGATGAGGGGATGCTGGGGGTGAGGGTATTATGGGGGGGGGGGGGTGCACTGTGGGGGTAGGGAGATGTGGGGGCCCATGGGGATGCGGGAGGGATGAGGGGATGCTGGGGGGTGGGGGTATTATGGGGGAGGGGGCGTGGCACTGTGGGGGTCAGGGAGATGTGGGGGCCCCATGGGGATAAGGGGGTGGGGGGTTATGGGGGAGGGGGCATGGCACTGTGGGGGTCAGGGAGATGTGGGGGCCCCATGGGGATGCGGGAGGGATGAGGGGATGCTGGGGATGGGGGTATTATGGGGGAGGGGGTGTGGCACTGTGGGGGTCAGGGAGATGTGGGGGTCCCTATGTGAATGTGGGGGGGATGTGGGGATGCTGGGGGGTGAGAGTGTTATGGAGAAGGGGGCGTGGCACTGTGGGGGTCAGGGAGATGGGGGGCCCCATGGAGATGCGGGGGGGGATGAGGGGATGCTGGGGGGTGGGGGTATTATGGGGAGGGGGCGTGGCACTGTGGGGGTCAGGGAGATGTGGGGGCCCCATAGGGATCCGGGGGGGGGGCAGCTCCGAAGAAGAGCTCCGGCCGCTCTTCCCCGGCAGCCGCTCTGACCGCCCTCGATTTCTGACGCGTTAGGGGCCTGACTGGCGGCGCGCCGGCCGGCTGGGGCGGCGCGGGGCGGGAACCGCCCTCCCGACTGCGGCGTCGCTGGGAGAGCGGGCAGGGCCGCACCCCGCCTCCGGGCGCTAGGGTAGGAGGGTAAGGCCGCGCCCAGGCCCGGCAGCTGGGCGGGGCGGTGTGGGGCCGGGCCGGGCCGGGGGTGAGGTGAGTGGGACCTGCAGAATGCTGGGAGGGTTGTGGGGGGAGGGGGTACAGAGAGGGTTGTGGGGGGAGGGGGTGCTCTGTGGGGGGGGGTGTTGGGAGGGTTGTGGGGGGCGCTGTGCGGGGCAGGGGGTACAGAGAGGGTTGTGGGGGGCAGGGGGTGCTCTGTGGGGCGGGGGGTGTTGGGAGGGTTGTGGGGGGCGCTGTGGGGGGCAGGGGGTACAGAGAGGGTTGTGGGGGGCAGGGGGTGCTCTGTGGGGCGGGGGGTGTTGGGAGGGTTGTGGGGGGCGCTGTGGGGGGCAGGGGGTACAGAGAGGGTTGTGGTGGGTAGGGGGTGCTCTGTGGGGCGGGGGGTGTTGGGAGGGTTGTGGGGGGCGCTGTGGGGGGCAGGGGGTACAGAGAGGGTTGTGGGGGGCAGGGGGTGCTCTGTGGGGCGGGGGGTGTTGGGAGGGTTGTGGGGGGCGCTGTGCGGGGCAGGGGGTACAGAGAGGGTTGTGGTGGGTAGGGGGTGCTCTGTGGGGCGGGGGGTGTTGGGAGGGTTGTGGGGGGCGCTGTGCGGGGCAGGGGGTACAGAGAGGGTTGTGGGGGGCAGGGGGTGCTCTGTGGGGCGGGGGGTGTTGGGAGGGTTGTGGGGGGTTCTGTGGGGGCGTTGGGAAGGTTCTGGCGCAGGGGGTGCTGTGGAGGTCAGGGAATGCTGGGAGGGGAGCGAGGGGGATGCTGGCAGTGTTGTGGGGTGCTGTGGGGGCCGGTGGGATGCTGGGAGAGGTGTGGGAGCCATGCTGTGGGGGCAAGGGGCAATCCTGGGAGGGATGTGTGGTTGGGGGATGCTGGGAGGGTGTGGGGGCCACTGTGCGGGGCGAGGGGTTGCCAACCTTGGTTGGACATATTCCTGGAGGTTTCATTAGATGACCTAACCTTTAATTCCTGGAGATTCCAGCAAAAAGAACAGGAGTAATTGGGGCACCTTAATGACAGGTTTCAGAGTAACAGCCGAGTTAGTCTGTATTCACAAAAAGAAAAGGAGTACTTGTGGCACCTTAGAGACTAACCAATGTATTTGAGCATAAGCTTTTGTGAGCTACAGCTCACTTCATCGGATGCATCAAGTGAGCTGTAGCTCACGAAAGCTTATGCTCAAATAAATTTGTTAGTCTCTAAGGTGCACCAAGTCCTCCTGTTCTTTTTGCAGATACAGACTAACACGGCTGCTACTTTGAAACCTGGAGATTCCAGGACAATCCCAGAGAGTTGGCAACCCTAGCTAGGGGGGATGCTGGGACGGGTGTGGGAGGAGTGCTGGGACTGATGTGTGGGACATGTAATGTGAGTTGTGCACAATGTGTGGCTGTGGTGGAATGTAATGGGATCTGTGTGGGGAAGTAATTGGGGTTGCTGTGGGGTGTGTGGTTATGGGATTAGGGATATGTGTTTGGGGGTGTGAGGTGGATTCTGCACTAACCCCATGCACCCTGGCGTGTGTAGGGATAAGGGGTTGAATTTCAGTGTCCCCCTTTGAGGTCTGAACAACACAGATAAAAAAGTTGTCCCCCTTCTCTGCATCTGTTACTTTTCTTTTTCTCATTTAAAAAACGGCAATGAGTACAATCAAAAGTGTGTTTAAATAAAATACACATATATGTCTATATTGTGTTCTACTCTTAATTTTTGAGTCTACTTTATATTTCCTAATGCACCTTGCAGTGCAGGCACAATTGTTATCAAAGCCATCTTAATACTTTGCAGTCAAGCATTCAGACCCAGAGTCCCCTAATCACAGATGAAGATACAAGAGATGAGATAGCAAGATACTATCCTAAGTGGTGGATGATTAACAGAAGTGTCCTTGGGGGCGGGGAAATTGGCATCCATTTGTATTATACTGATAAGTGCTTCACCCACAGCATAATGATGAATTGTTTGTGGGGGTTTTTGTCACAATGCTTTTCGTTCAGCCAGTCATTGATAGCATTGCCTAAACTTACAGAAGAAACAGCTTCCTGGTCTTGATTCTCCTACATCAGCGTAAACCTATTGAAGTCAGCTGAGGGAGTTACATTGTTTTTTACATTGGAGCAAGTGAGATCAGAATCAGTTCTAAAGATCTTGTTGCAGTGAGAGCCACTAGACTGATCTAAAAAGAAAAGGAGGACTTGTATAGTAGCAACAGGGATTTTTTAAAGCAGAGAATGAAGTGAGGGAATGACATAATACATAGAACTAGACTGGGAGTTGTGAGTTCGCAGCAAAACTTTCCCATGCTGGTCCCGTCCTGCTCCCCTCCAAAAAGCAGAAGCTGCTTATGTGTATGGGGGCTGGGTATGGAAATGGTAGGGAAAAGAGGAAGCTAAATGGCCTGTGCCTGAACAATCCTGGCTGGTTAGCTAGCAGCAGGCTGCGGAAAACAGCTTGTTAGCTTACCAGCTCCTCAGAAAAGGAATGAGAGTCTGGGGGTCATCAGGTGGTGGTCAAGGAAGGAAGGAGGCTCTTTATAATACATGCTAGGTATGAAACCTGGATTTTATAAATGCTTTTGGTCTTTTCTCTCTTTCCCTTTGGTCAGATGAAGATAATTAAACATTCTGAGCAGGTCCTGAAGACAGCATTGATCTCCAAGAACACGCAGCTTGTGAAGCTGTATGAGAATCTTGAGTCAAGTGAGAAGTGTTTGCTGAATGAAGCATTTCAGCCAAACAGTGTTCTCTTCAGACCCATCACTCTGCATTCGGAGTCAGATTGGATCTCCTCACACCCTGAGCCCACCCAGGACTTTGAACAGTTTTATAACGATCCTTGCAGAAGCAGACTGACATCTCAGAAAAATGCCATTTATGTACAGCCCATTGGTAATGTCTAACTGTGATCGCAGAACCAAACCATCTGTCTTTAATATGCCTGTCCCATTAAATATGAACTAATTAGGTTATATGTTCCAATTTTCAAATAAAAAGACTTCATAATAGATCTCAGACAAAGTGGTCTAGTGGTTAGAGCAGTCAGGATGCCTGGGTTTTATTTCTGATTCAGACATTCAGCTATGGTGTTATGGAAAGATCCTGCAAGCACTTATGGATGAGCTTAACTTTACTCATCCAAGTAGTCCTATTAGAGTCCATGGAACTGCTCATGTGAGTAGAGGTTAAAGTTATCCATAATTACTTGTAGGATTAGGTCCTTCTGTGCCTCGGTTTACCCATGTTTAAAATGGTGAATACTTAATTAAGCATTACTGGAGTATTGTGAAGCTTAATCAGTGTTTACAATGTGCTTTGATTCCTTTGGATGAAAGGTGCTATAGAAATGCAAATTACTGTTAATATGTTTTTTCTGTAGTGTGGTGCACAGAGATGTTTTTGAGGATCACAGTAAATAATATAGATTGATTTTAAGTCTATTTCCTGGTAGCTTTCACAGTTTTTGATTAACTTGTGTAGAAAATTGTGTTTTAAGAAAAACAGGAACAGTCATAATCTTGGGAAAAGAAACCCATTGAAGGTAAAAACAAACCAACAAACAAATACAGTATGCTAAACCTCAGTCCTTCAGTTTCCCTACTCCATCCATATTTGATCAGCTGTTTATGGGAGTTGCCATTACTCTTGAAGCTGAAATTTTAATTACGGTTATGAGTAATGGATTCACTATTGCAGTCTACAGCACTGACGTCAGTTTCTGTGTTGCCTCTTGTGGGTAGCATTGTACTGTTTGGCTGTTATTAATATCATGTATCACAGCACTTGACAGTGATAAACAATGCCCTTATTTAAAAAACAAACAAACCTCCCACTTCATTACTGTACAATAATTGTCCCGAACATTGCTTTATCATTGTTATGAGATATAGTATCTTGGAGTATTGCAGCAGAATAACTTTGTCACTTTGTTTTTGGGCTAAGGGAATAGAAGTTAATAAAATAAAGAGAGGCATTCTTGGATTTGCATGGAAATGGTGAAAGGTTACAATTGTGTTTGTGCCGTGTTCTATAATATTGCTTATATTTTCTTTTGATAACTTGGGGTAAATGTGATGTTCATTAACAGACCTGAAATAAGAGGGAATATTAAAGTTATCATTCTTTTGGGGGATTTTTAAAAAATATGAGTTGATTGAATGAACTGCCATACCAGGTTTATAACCTGATGTTATTTTGGACTGCTTATATAGGTTCGTTTGGGGACACTAAAGTTAGTACGGAGGATTATATGAAATGGTTGAAGGATTATTGTGAAGCCTTTTACTATGGCCTATCTGTAAAAATCCTGGAGCCGATTCCTGTTTCACACACAGGTTGTGGTTTTCGAGTGAATGAGTACACATGCAATCTACAGATTCATGCAGGTATGTAGGGAGGAGAAGAACAGCATCAAGTTTGGAATCGCCTCATTGCTAAAAGATTGGAATAATAAAGAAATGAACACTGAGTTTCTTGAAACTCTAAGCCAGGGGTGTTGTGAGGATAAATACATTAAAGATTGTGCGGTGTTCAGCTACTACAGTGGGGGATTATATCAGTGCTATAGGCAGACAGAGAGAAGGATGGATAACTTCAGATTCTTTGTTAGCAGCTCACCAGAATCTCCAGTCATGTGACTTACAGTGTAGTGGAGAAGTGTGGTTTAGTTGTTTGAGCATAAGTCTAGGACTCAGTAAAGCGAGATCCTAATCTCAGCTCTGGTTTCAGACCTGATTCTGCAACCTTTATTCATGTGAGAAGTTCCGTTGCTATCAGTGGGATTATTCGTTCAAATAAGGGCATCCGAATCAGGCCTCAAAAAAGCAGCTGAGTCATTCTGCTATATCGATATAACACATGCCTGGTAGCGCATTCAGGCTTGATCACTTAGTTCCCTAACTAACCAAATGGTCAGCTAGCCAAGTAGTTTTGTCTTGAACAATAGTTATTTAAAACTAACACAAATGTATTGTATGAGTCTAAAGATCAAATAGATGCCCAGCTAGTTTAGGCTGAGCTACATTTTCTTTGGATATTGCTATGAAATCACTCGATGATTACCTATTCTGTTCATTCCTTCTGAAGCACCTGGCATTGGCCACTGTCGGAAGACAGGATACTGGGCTAGACAGACCTTTGATCTGACCAGTATGGCCGATCTTACGTTTCTAACACTATCTTTTTTGACCCTTAGAATGTCGGTCATGGTAGTGATTTTTGTGATGTGACTACTAGAAACTTTGCTGAGACCACCAACTGTCCCTCTGACTTTTAGGACTTTTAACCTGCAATAGATTCAAGCATCTACCTTTATTAAGCAGCCTGACCACTCTTTTAAAACAATAATTCACTGCACTGAATAGAAAAATATTATCTACCCTAAGGGCTTGTCTAGGCTTATTGCTTTGCCAAAGCTCATTATGGAACGTTCAGTGCCCTTTAGCAGGGTCCACATGGCAACTTAGTGCACAGCAAGCTAGGGCTAGTCTACACTCGCAAAGCCAGTGCCTTGTTCACTGGCAAAGTTCAGTGCCTTGAGTGGTCGTGGGAGCTCTCCCAGCGCTCTAAAAAAACCACCTTCACAAAGGGTGTAGCTACCAGGGCTGGAAATGTGGCTACTAGCGCTGGTGCACTGTCTACATTGGTGCTTTTTTCGCACCCCTGAGCAATAAAGTTACAGCACTGTAAATTGCAAGTGTAGACAAGCCTCTAGTGTGCTGTAGCTTTCTGTGCACTAATACAGTGTGTTGACAAGCCCCAATTTATCCTGAGACCAATCCTGCAAGCAGAACTTCCAATGGAAATTGGTGTATGGAGGGTGTCATAAATATAAAGGGAAGGGTAAACCCCTTTGAAATCCCTCCTGGCCAGGGGAAAGCTCCTCTCACCTGTAAAGGGTTAAGAAGCTAAAGGTAACCTCGCTGGCACCTGACCAAAATGACCAATGAGGAGACAAGATACTTTCAAAAGCTGGGAGGAGGGAGACAAACAAAGGGTTTGTGTCTGTCTGTGTGCTGCTCTTGCCAGAGACAGAACAGGAATGGAGTCTTAGAACTTTTAGTAAGTAATCTAGCTAGGTATGTGTTAGATTATGATTTCTTTAAATGGCTGAGAAAAGAATTGTGCTGAATAGAATAACTATTTCTGTCTGTATATCTTTTTTGTAACTTAAGGTTTTGCCTAGAGGGGTTCTCTATGTTTTGAATCTAATTACCCTGTAAGATATATACCATCCTGATTTTACAGGGGGGATTTCTTTATTTCTATTTACTTCTATTTTTTATTAAAAGTCTTCTTGTAAAAACTGAATGCTTTTTCATTGTTCTCAGATCCAAGGGTTTGGGTCTGTGGTCACCTATGCAAATTGGTGAGGCTTTTTATCCAACATTTCCCAGGAAAGGGGGTGCAAGTGTTGGGAGGATTGTTCATTGTTCTTAAGATCCAAGGGTCTGGGTCTGTAGTCACCTAGGCAACTTGGTGAGGCTTTTACCAAACCTTGTCCAGGAAGTGGGGTGAAGGTTTTGGGAAGTATTTTGGGGGACAGACGCGTCCAAACAGCTCTTCCCCAGTAACCAGTAATTGTTTGGTGGTGGTAGGCCATTCCAAGGATAACGGGTGTAATATTTTGTACCTTGGGGAAGTTTTGACCTAAGCTGGTAAAGATAAGCTTAGGAGGTTTTTCATGCAGGTCCCCACATCTGTACCCTAGAGTTCAGAGTGGGGGAGGAATTGACATGGTGGCAAGTGGTGGGATTAACCTGAAATCATTTGAGATCCAGTTGAGATTTTTTGAACTAGAAATACAGAGTTTAAAAGGAAATTTTTTTCTTTGGAAAGAAAGTCCAGAAAGCAGCTTTGAAACTTTGGCCAAGCAGAGAAAAAGGGGATTATCTTGTGAATTGCAGGTTTTTTTGCCTGGAGGCAGGGTACTTAACTCCTGCAGGAAATTCCAGTCTTCCAACCATTGTTTTTTTTTTCTTTTCTTCCTAAAAGTAAATAGGGGTGTGTGTTCTACCCATTTGCTTTTTCTTTGGGTGGGTAAGCAGGTTTCCAAGTAGTTGGAGGTTTTTTGCTTTAATTTGGGCCCAGAGCAGAGACAAGGGAATTGTCTTTTTCTGTAGGCTGACAATCACTATCAGAGAATAGGTATTCTATTGCAGCACAGCAAAATTTTACAGCCAAGTTTTGTTTGTTTATTTCTAAACCTCGGGTGTAAAGTTAGTTAAAAACAGAGAGGTTAGAAGACCAAATCCTCAGCTCGACTACAGCTGGAATTAGCCAAATTTCAGGCTGAGGAAAGAAAAGGGAACATGAAAGACAGATAGAACTCATGCGGCTGAAGAAGGAACAAGAAAGGGAGGCAGCGAGAGAAGCAGAACAACACCAAGCGGCTGCTCACAGGAGAGCTATGGAAGCAAGGGACAAAGAACTGGAGGAGAAGGAAAAGAGAGGAAGTATGTGGAGGAGATGGAGAAGATAAAGGCCCAGCAGAATATACCAACAAACCCTAGCAATCCTTCTCCAGGTACCACTTCCCATCCCAGAAAGTTCCCCACCTACAAGGCAGGTGATAATACTGAGGCCTTCTTAGAAAACTTCGAAAGGGCCTGCCTTGGGTACAACATCTCTACTGACCAATACATGGTAGAGCTGAGGCCGCAGCTCAGTGGACCCTTAGCTGAGGTGGCAGCTGAAATGCCTAAAGAACACATGAACAAGTATGAACTGTTTAAACCCAAGGCGAGAGTCAGAATGGGGATAACACCCGAGCAGTCTCGTCGGAGGTTCAGAGCCCTAAGGTGGAAACCAGACATGTCATTTACCCGACATGCCTACCACATTGTGAAACATTGGGATGCCTGGATATCAGGAGCAAGTGTTGAATCTCCAGTAAATTTGCCCTTCCTAATGCAAATGGAACAATTCTTAGAGGGTGTTCCTGAGGAAATAGAAAGATACATCCTAGATGGGAAACCCAAAACTGTAATTGAGGCAGGAGAGATTGGAGCCAGATGGGTGGAGGTGGCAGAGAAGAAGAAAACTGGTCGCAGTTGGAGCGGAGACCAGAAGGGACCACCCCAGACCACACCTTATTACGGGGCCGCCCAAAGCCCCACCTACCTCCCAAAGAACCCTCCAGACCCCTTATCGTCCCACCACCCCGTTCTCCAGCAACCCTCCTCGCCCCAGTGACCCGTCAGCTGGACGATGTTTTAAGTGTAACGAGCTGGGGCATGTAAAGGCCAACTGCCCCAAGAACCCCAACAGATTACAGTTCATTGCACCGGAATCACACAGAGGTCCACAGGCCCAGATACCTCCCAGATACCCTTGGAGCGGAGGGAAACTGTGAGTGTGGGCGGGAAGAAGGTCACCGCGTGGAGGGACACCGGAGCACAAGTGTCAGCTATCCATGCTTCCTTAGTGGACCCCAATTTAATCAACCCAGAGATCCAAGTGACGATTCAACCCTTCAAGTCCAACTCTTTCAATTTGCCTACAGCCAGTTGCCTGTCCAGTACAAGGGCTGGTCAGGAATGTGGACTTTGCAGTCTATGATGATTATCCCATCCCCATGCTGTTGGGGAAGACTTGGCCAATCATGTGAAGCAGGCCAAGAGGGTGGGAATGGTCACCCGCAGCCAGGCTAAACAAGCCGTGAGGCCTAGCTCTGTTCCGGAAACTTCTATCAGGACCCAGTCAGAGGTGATGGACCCGGACCCCAGGCCAATGTCTGCAACAGCAGTAGTGGATCCAGTCCCAGAGACCCAGACGGAACCAGTCCTAGAACCGGAACCAGCCGAACAACCAACACCAGACCCCGTGTCAGCACTGAATCCAGTACTTGCAACCTCAACACCAGAAGGCCCCACCGAACCTGAACTGGCAGCAGCCGATAACCCTACACAAGAGGCTCAGCCGGAGCCTGAATCCCAACATAGTGCACCAGCGGAGAGCGGTTCACAGTCAACAGAAACAGCTCCATCCCCTATATCGCTTCCAGAGGGACCAAGCCTAGGTCCACAATCCCATGAGGAACTGATGTCCCCAGCATCAAGGGAACAGTTCCAGACCGAACAGGAAGCAGATGGAAGCCTCCAGAGAGCTTGGACGGCGGCACGGAGCAACCCACCGCCTCTCAGCTCTTCTAATCGATCCAGGTTTGTTATAGAAAGAGGACTTTTATACAAGGAAACTCTTTCTGGTGGACACCAGGAAGACTGGCATCCTCAGAGACAGTTGGTAGTTCCAACTAAATACCGGGCCAAGCTCTTGAGCTTAGCCCACGATCACCCTAGTGGCCATGCTGGGGTGAACAGGACCAAAGACCGTTTGGGGGGGTCATTCCACTGGGAGGGAATGGGCAAGGATGTTTCTACCTATGTCCAGTCTTGTGAGGTGTGCCAAAGAGTGGGAAAACCCCAAGACCAGGTCAAAGCCCCTCTCCAGCCACTCCCCATCATTGAAGTTCCATTTCAGCGAGTAGCTGTGGATATTCTGGGTCCTTTTCCGAAAAAGACACCCAGAGGAAAGCAGTACATACTGACTTTCATGGATTTTGCCACCCGATGGCCGGAAGCAGTAGCTCTAAGCAACACCAGGGCTAAAAGTGTGTGCCAGGCACTAGCAGACATTTTTGCCAGGGTAGGTTGGCCCTCCGACATCCTCACCGATGCAGGGACTAATTTCCTGGCAGGAACTATGAAAAACCTTTGGGAAGCTCATGGGGTAAATCACTTGGTTGCCACTCCTTACCATCATCAAACAAATGGCATGGTGGAGAAGTTTAATGGAACTTTGGGGGCCATGATACGTAAATTCGTAAATGAGCACTCCAATGATTGGGACCTAGTGTTGAGAGTTGCTCTTTGCCTACAGAGCTGTACCACATCCCAGTTTAGGGTTTTCCCATTTGAACTTGTATATGGCCGTGAGGTTAAGGGGCCATTGCAGTTGGTGAAGCAGCAATGGGAGGGATTTACACCTTCTCCAGGAACTAACATTCTGGACTTTGTAACCAACCTACAAAACACCCTCCGAACCTCTTTAGCCCTTGCTAAGAAAACTTACAGGATGCTCAAAAAGAGCAAAAAGCCTGGTATGATAAACATGCCAGAGAGCGTTCCTTCAAAGTAGGAGACCAGGTCATGGTCTTAAGCGCTCAGGCCCATAAAATGGAAGATCGTGGGAAGGGCCATTCAGGTCCAGGAGCGCCTGGGGCTGTTAATTATCTCATAGCATTCCCCACCTCCAACCGAAAGCCTAAGGTGTACCATATTAATTCTCTAAAGCCCTTTTATTCCAGAGAATTAAAGGTTTGTCAGTTTAAGAGGGAGGAGAGAGCTGAGTGGCCTGAAGGTGTTTACTACGAAGGGAAATGTGCTGGTGGTGTGGAAGAGGTGAACCTCTCCATGACCCTTGGGCGATGCAGCAACAGCAGATCCAGGAGCTGTGCACTAGCTACGGCCAACGTTCTCAGCCACCCCAGGACTGACTGAACGGGCATACCACTCCATTGACACAGGTAATGCTCACCCAATTAGGGTCCAACCTTACGGGTGTCTCCTCAAGCTAAAACTGCTATAGAACGGGAGATCAGGATATGTTACAGATGGGGTAATCCGCCCCTCTGAAAGTGCATGGGCATCTCCAGTGGTTCTAGTTCCCAAACCAGATGGGGAAATACGTTTTGCGTGGACTACCGTAAGCTAAATGCTGTAACTCGCCAGACAACTATCCAATGCCACGCAAGATGAACTATTAGAGAAACTGGGACGGGCCCAGTTCATCTCTACCTTGGACTTAACCAAGGGGTACTGGCAGGTACCGCTAGATGAATCTGCCAAGGAAAGGTCAGCCTTCATCACACATCTCGGGCTGTATGAATTTAATGTACTCCCTTTCGGGCTGGAATGACCGCCACTTTCAAAGACTTGTAGATGGTCTCCTAGGGGATTAGGAGAATATGCAGTCGCCTACCTTGACGATGTGGCCATATTTTCGGATTCCTGGGCAGACCACCTGGAACATCTACAAAAAGTCCTTGAGCGCATAAGGGAGGCAGGACTAACTGTTAAGGCCAAGAAGTGTCAAATAGGCCTAAACAGAGTGATTACCTTGGACACCAGGTGGGTCAAGGAACTATAGCCCCCTACAGGCCAAAGTGGATGCTATCCAAAAGTGGCCTGTCCAAAGTCAAAAAACAGGTTCAATCCTTCTTAGCTTGGCGGTTATTACAGACGATTTGTACCGCACTACAGCCAAATCGCTGCCCCACTGACAGACCTAACCAAAAAAACAGCCAAATGCTGTTCAGTGGACGGAAAGTGTCAGAAGGCCTTTAACAAGCAAGCGACACTCATGTCTGACCCTGTACTAAGGGCCCCAGACTTTGACAAACGTTCTAGTAACCACAGATGCATCCGGTGGTGTGGGAGCAGTTTTAATGCAGAAAGGACCTGATCAAGAATTCCACCTGTAGTGTTTCTCAGAAAAACGTCGAGAGGGAAGAACTGGTCAGTCATGAAAAGAATGTTACGCATTGTTATCTAAAAGCACGCCCATATGTTTGGGGACGGGTTTCCACCTAAAGACCATGTTGCACTGAAGTGGCTTCACACCGTCAAAAAACTAACAAAAACTTCTTCGTGGAGTTTAGCTCTCCAAGATTTTGATTTGACATCAACACATCTCAGGAGCTTCTAACAAAGTGGCTGATGCATCTCCTGAAAGTTTCCAGATCAACTGTTAAAATCATCCTTGAGATGTGGAAAATATTGTTAGTCTTTATGTACTTGGTAGTATATTTAGAGATATTGTTTATTAACTCTTTTTCCTAGAGCTCAGGAAGAAATCCCAGCAGTGTTTCACCCTAGCTAGATTTGGGGGCGTGTCATAAATATAAAGGGAAGGGTAAACCTTGAAATCCCTCCTGGCCAGGGGAAAGCTCCTCTCACCTGTAAAGGGTTAAGAAGTAAAGGTAACCTCCTGGACCTGACCAAAATGACAATGAGGAGACAAGATACTTTAAAAGTGGAGGAGGGAGACAAAAAAGGTTTGTGTCTGTCTGTGTGCTGCTCTTGCCAGAGACAGAACAGGAATGGAGTCTTAGAACTTTTAGTAAGTAATCTAGCTAGGTATGTGTTAGATTATGATTTCTTTAAATGGCTGAGAAAGAATTGTGCTGAATAGAATAACTATTTCTGTCTGTTATCTTTTTGTAACTTAAGGTTTTGCCTAGAGGGGTTCTCTATGTTTTGAATCTAATTACCCTGTAAGATATATACCATCCTGATTTTAAGGGGGATTTCTTTATTTCTATTTACTTCTATTTTTTATTAAAAGTCTTCTTGTAAAAACTGAATGCTTTTTCATTGTTCTCAGATCCAAGGGTTTGGGTCTGTGGTCACTATGCAAATTGGTGAGGCTTTTATCCAACATTTCCCAGGAAAGGGGGGTGCAAGTGTTGGGAGGATTGTTCATTGTTCTTAAGATCCAAGGGTCTGGGTCTGTAGTCACCTAGGCAACTTGGTGAGGCTTTTTACCAAACCTTGTCCAGGAAGTGGGGTGCAAGGTTTTGGGAAGTATTTTGGGGGGACAGACGCGTCCAAACAGCTCTTCCCCAGTAACCAGTAATTGTTTGGTGGTGGTAGCGGCCATTCCAAGGATAACGGGTGTAATATTTTGTACCTTGGGGAAGTTTTGACCTAAGCTGGTAAAGATAAGCTTAGGAGGTTTTTCATGCAGGTCCCCACATCTGTACCCTAGAGTTCAGAGTGGGGGAGGAACCTTGACAGAGGGTTTAGAGGGTCTGACCTCATGTTAGCAGCATTAGTGGCTCCAGATTGGTAATGTGGCTGGACACCTACATTGCATAATCCAGTGGCTCTTAAGCTTTTTGGACTACTGTATCTCTTTCAGGAGTCTGATTTGTCTTGTGTACCCCCAAGTTATATCTCGCTTAAAAACTACTTGCTTACAAAATCAGACCTAAAAATTCAAAAGTGGCACAGCACACTGTTACTGAAAAATTGCTTACTTTCTTATTTTTGCTATATAGTTATAAAATAAATCAATCGGAATATAAATATTGTACTTACATTTCAGTGTATAGTATATAGAGCAGTACAAATAAGTCATTGTCAATATGAAATTTTAGTTTGTACTGACTTCACTACTGCATTTTATGTAGCCTGTTGTAAAACTAGGCAAATATCTAGATGGGTTGATGTATCCCCTGCAACACCTCTGAGTACCTCCCAGGTTGAGAACCACTGGTGTAATCTTCTGACTGCTTTCACAGCTTTCTTCTGTGGTGACTCATGCTTCTGTTGAAGGGAGTTGTTTTCTGTTGTTTATGCAGGGGACCTCTTGAAATACCTAAAGAAGAAAAAGCCAAAAGAAGATGCTTTCTGTATTGTTGGGATAACAATGATAGATCTTTATCCAAGGGAGTCCTGGAATTTTGTCTTTGGACAAGCCTCTTTGACAGAAGGTATTCAATTTTATGTCAGGAGTATATCAGTGGAGAAAACTAAAACGACTCCAAAATGCTAGGAATCAATTTACTATGAAAATAAATCAAATTAAAATGTGCATAAAATATGATAAATATGGGATAAATATGAATTGAATTGATGTATAATTTATGGGTATATAATTTTAAAAATAGTATGTGATATTGTTCAAACTCATACAGTTCAAAATCACTACATTCAAAAGACAGTCAAAAAGTAAGAAACATTTTTGATCCACTGTTAAAAGAAAAATCCCTAAAACTTTGTTCATAACTTTAAATATGTTTCCCTTTCTATACTGAATTTCGTTGGATAAGTTCGCAGCCCTAAAGGGGATTTTTTGGTTGACACAGTTGGGTTGGTGTTGGTTTCTGTGTGTTTGTTTTACAGAGTTACAGAAGTACCAAAGAAATTGAATTTACATATTCAAGATGTCATTTTTCATACTCTGGAAACAGTGCATTTTTCTTCTTCAAATAAAATCTTATGCAAATAAAGAAGGCTTTGCTGCCAAAAGAACTGAAACCCAGCTCAGAACATGTCAATGTCTGTCCAAATCACCTATTTTTTTTTTATTTCTTACTGCCACACGCAGAGGGTGGGCTGAAAAAGAACAGCCAAAAATAGTGAGTTGCTGCTACAAAGACTCAGGACCTTCTGTGACACTAAGACCCCTTGGCAATGGTCCTCTGTTCTTTGCAGACAACTCTCACCTCAAATTCAGTACACCAAACATGTTGTACAGGATATTTATCCATAAAGAGAAACATGTAAGGTATCTATAGAAGACTCATAACTAGTCAAGATTCATGATCATTGTGAGATGTATGCATGGGATGGATATATATATATAAAATGAGAGAGAATGCTTTATGACTTGCAGTAAAAATTAGTCACTGGGGTAATGCCTATTCTAGGATGAGGGAGTTGTCACCCCTTGCTGTTTAGCTGAGGATGCAAGGCAAGGCTGAGTTTAGCTTTTGCAATAGTAAGACTTTGAATGGGAAACCATCAGAGGCAACTGCAAACAATCGAAACCACTTGAAGGTAAAAAAAAGGGACTTTACAACAAGACAGGGGTTTGCCCTGCTTCTGAATAGAAACAAAAGTTTGGTTTCAGTATAACAGGAGGAAAAACCCTCTAGATCCATTCACTAAGGAAGTTCTGAGGAAGTGAGCCATAGCTCATGAAAGCTTATGCTCAAATAAATTTGTTAGTCTCTCAGGTGCCACAAGTACTCCTTTTCTTTTTGCGAATACAGACTAACACGGCTGCTACTCTGAAACTTGTGGAATGGGGGTGTTTTCATGCATGTTTGGATGATGGTTCTTGCTAAACCAGACAGCTCTGCAACAGACTGAACTTTGGGTGAAAACCCATAGGTGCCGACTCTGTGGGTGCTCCAGGGCTGGAGCACTGACAGGGAAATATTAGTGGGTGCTCTGCACCTACCGGCAGCCAAGCTTCCCTTCCCACCCCGCCTAACCTCCGCCTCCCCTTAGCACACCGCGTCCCCGCTCCTCCGCCTACCTCCCAGCGCTTGCCCCGGCCAAACAGCTGTAGCGAGGGATGGGGGAGGAGCGGGCACATGGCGTGCTCAGGGGAGGAGGTGGGGAAGAAGCGGGGCCAGGGCGGGGATTTGAGGAAAGGGTTGAAATGGGTGCAGGGCATGGGTGGAGTCAGGGTTGGGCCAGGGGCAGAGGGGGGTCGAGCACCCACTGGCGCCAGAAGAAGTCGACACCTATGGAAAAACCTACTTTATTTGGTAGGAAAGGTATTTATTAATAAATATAGACCCAAGTTCACATTTTGTGATTCTGTTTTGCATTGTAATCGTATGTTTCCACTGCTCTCTCTTGTTTCTAGTTAAATCTATTCTTTCTTCTAATAAAACAATATTAAGTTTATTTCAGTACTCACAAGGGCTCTGTGGTTTACAGGAGTGGTGGTTTAAGATAAAACTGGAATACACTGCTCCTTTGAGAGCAGAGGATCTGGGATTTCTGTGAGTTGCCACTGTCGCAGGGGAATGATCCAAAGGGACTTGGGGACTGGGGTGTACCTACTGTTCACCTGCAAGGTGAAGTTAGGGCTGGCTTAGACCAGAGGAGAGTGCTTGAGTGGCTGAAAGGCTGATAGTGTTAGGGAGATGATGTCCAGCCAGGCACTGGCAGGACTTCCTCACACTGGAGGTAGGGGATAACAGGGTGACTCCCAGTCTTGAGTACACTAAGAACTATCACACACTTTACCGAACAGGCTAAGATATGGGCGATGTCTTTCACTAGGTATACTGGAAATAAGAAAGACTTTAACAGGTTAGTCACTCAGCAGATGTAATGTTGTGTACATTTTTATGTTGTGTACAATTTTAAATGAAAATAACTTAAAACCTTGCAGTGTTATGATCTAGTCTTCCTTGTACTCCTAAATCTCCCGATCACATAAAATCAGAATTTGGGGTTCCCAAGGAGTACTAATTTAGTCTCTATCTTGTGGTTTTCTGTTGCAAGAAAAACAAATGATTGTTAATGTGCATTTTTTTTTAAATGCATAAAGTCATAACATTTAGACTGTTTGGTACTGAGTCTGGTGTCACATCACTGTAAATTAGGAGTCAGTACATCAAGGGCAATGAAGTGACTCCTACATTAGTGAAAGGAAGCTCAGGCCCTCTCTGTTGTGTTCGCATATTTGCAGCATGAGTTCACTTCAGGTACCACAACAGCCTTTAGTCTATGATACTCAAAATCTACACCTCAAAATATTGCTCTTTGTCTTTTTCACCATAAAATAGAATGCCTGTGTTATTCAAAGCAAAAATATTAAACATTTTCTCAGCTATTCCAAAAACATGTATGCTTGAAAAATCTGATCTGGCCAGTGACTGGGTAAAATGGTTTGCTTAATGGCAGGGCTTAGTGGGCATGTATATTTTAACTGCAAGGCTTAGTTGGCATGAAGAGCAATCTTGCCATGGGCCCAATGCTATACTCAGTTATAATTGAACAGCTGCATTGATTTCATTGGGGATTGCTGGATGTAAGTTCAAGTAGATTTTGGGCTGACATCTGTCCAAAGCACAGTGTAACTAGCTCTGTCTGTTTCTCCAGAGTCTGATTATTTAGGGATTAATAACAAGAATTTTAGTTATAAGCTGGGGACACATCAATTAGAAGTAACGGAGGAGGAGAAGGACCTTGGAGTATTGGTTGATCATAGGATGACTATGAGCCGCCAATGTGATATGGCCATGAAAAAAGCTAATGCGGTCTTGGGATGCATCAGGAGAGGTATTTCAAATAGGGATAAGGAGGTTTTAGTACCGTTATACAAGGCACTGGTGAGACCTCACCTGGAATACTGTGTGCAGTTCTGGTCTCCCATGTTTAAGAAGGATGAATTCCAACTGGAACAGGTACAGAGAAGGGCTACTAGGACGATCCGAGGAATGGAAAACTTGTCTTATGAAAGGAGACTCAAGGAGCTTGGCTTGTTTAGCCTAACTAAAAGAAGGTTGAGGGGAGATATGATTGCTCTCTATAAATATATCAGAGGGATAAATACCAGAGAGGGAGAGGAATTATTTAAGCTCAGTACCAATGTGGATACAAGAACAAATGGATATAAACTGGCCACCAGGAAATTTAGACTAGAAATTAGACAAAGGTTTCTAACCATCAGAGGAGTGAAGTTTTGGAACAGCCTTCCAAGGGAAGCAGTGGGGACAAAAGATCTATCTGGCTTTAAGATTAAACTCGATAAGTTTATGGAGGAGATGGTATGATGGGATAACATGGTTTTGGTAATTAAATATTCATGGTAAATAGGCCCAATGGCCTGTGACGGGATATTAGATGGGGTGGGATCTGAGTTACCCAGGAAAGAATTTTCTGTAGTATCTGGCTGATGAATCTTGCCCGTATGCTCAGGGTTTAGCTGATCGCCATATTTGGGGTCGGGAAGGAATTTTCCTCCAGGGCAGATTGGAAGAGGCCCTGGAGGTTTTTCGCCTTCCTCTGTAGCATGGGGCACAGGTCACTTGCTGGAGGATTCTCTGCTCCTTGAAGTCTTTAAACCACGATTTGAGGACTTCAATAGCACAGACATAGGAGAGGTTTATTGCAGGAGTGGTGGGTGAAATTCTGTGTCCTGCGTTGCGCAGGAGGTCGGACTAGATGATCATAATGGTCCCTTCTGACCTAAATATCTATGAATTTATGATTGCTAGCAATCAAATCTAGTTTGCATAGGTGCTTCTGATTTAACTCATTCTTCAATTACCAGCTTATGGGCCTGATTCAGCAAGCCCTCTGTTTGCCAAACTCCCATAGAAATCAGTTTTCAGAGTAGCAGCCGTGTTAGTCTGTATTCGCAAAAGGAAAAGGAGTACTAGTGACACCTTAGAGACTAACCAATTTATTTGAGCATAAGCTTTCGTGAGCTACAGCATCCAATGAAGTGAGCTGTAGCTCACGAAAGCTTATGCTCAAATTGGTTAGTCTCATGGTGCCACTAGTACTCCTTTTTATAGAAATCAGTGGAATTGCCTTTATTTACACGTGTGGTGAATCTGGAATTTTTATATATGTTGATTCTTCCTTTTATAATTGAGATTCTTTTCAAACAGTATTTTGTTAAATAAGTTAGAATCTATTGACTTATCATGTTCACCTGAGAAAAGGTTCATAGTTAGGATTTTGGCCCCATTATGTATATTTTTAATTTAAACAGTATTTTTCCATTTCAGTGTTCTTTTTTCATTTTTATTTCCCCTATATTGGCCAGGTGACTCCAGAAATGAAGAATCTAAATTATCTATGTATCACCTGTGAAAAAACCTGGCACAGGCTCCAAGTCAGCAGGGCACTTAAGCATGTGACTAAGTCTGTGAGTAGCCTTGTGGACTTGAATTAGACTTCTCACACATTTAAAGTTAGCCCCATAGTTAAGTACATTCCTGAACTAGGCAATACA